AACCTCCATTAACTTTCTTTAATTCCCATTCTTCCACACCTCCCTCTCCTCTCCCTCCTCCCCATAACCCGCTTCCCCACACCCCTTCCCCAATCCCCATTTCCTTGCCTTATATTTTCCCCCCTTTTCCTATTCCCCTCACACACTCCCTCCCTTCTCCCTCCCCCTCCCACTCCCCAACGTCCCCCCCTCCCTCCCAATACCCCACTTCTCCCCCAATACCCCTTCCTTCCCCTCCTCCAACCCCCAACACCCTCACATACCCCCCACCCCCACCCCCACCCCTCCTCCTCCTCCCCCGTACCGTCCAACCCGGTCCACAGAGTCGGTATATATCAGGAGAGCGACACGATGCCCAGCGAGCGGAAATGAAGCTCGGTGTTAAACCTGGATTAAAATCTCGATAAGTCTCCCTTTGGCGTATGGAAGTTAGGGAGAAGGGAAGAGGAGGAAAGGGAGAATAGGAGGAGGAAAGGGAAGGAGGAGGAGGAGGAGGAAAGGAAGGATAGGAGAAGGGGAGGATAGGAGAAGGGAAGGGAAGAGGAGGAAAGGGAGAATAGGAGAAGGGGAGAGGAGGGGTGGAGGTAGAAAAGGAGGGGAGGAGGAGGAAAGGGAGGATAGGAGAAGGGGAGCGGAGGGGTGGAGGAGGAAAGGGAGACTAGGAGAAGGGAAGGGAAGGAGGAGGAGGAGGAGGAAAGGGAGAATAGGAGAAGGAGAGCGGAGGGGTGGAGGAGGAAGGGAGGGGAGGAGAAGGGGAGGATAGGAGAAGGGAAGGGGAGCGGAGGGGTGGAGGAGGAAAGGGAGAATAGGAGGAGGAAAGGGAAGGGGAGGAGAAGGGGAGGATAGGAGAAGGGAAGAGGAGCGGAGGGGTGGAGGAAGAAAGGGAGGATAGGAGAAGGGAAGGGGAGGAGGAGGAAAGGGAGGATAGGAGAAGGAAGGGGTGGAGGAGGGAACGGGAGGAAAAGGAGGAGGGGAAGGAAGGGGAGGAGGAGGAGGAAAGGGAGAAAAGGAGGCGGGAAAGGGAAGGGGAGAGGGGAAGGAGAACAGGAGGATGAAAGGGAAGGGAGAAGGGGAAGGGGAGGAGGAGGAGGAGGAAAGGGAGGATAGGAGAAGGGAAGGGGAGGAGGAGGAAAGGGAGGATAGGAGAAGGGAAGGGGAGGAGGAGGAGGAAAGGAGGAGAGGAAGAGGAAAGGAGGAGAGGAAGAGGAAAGGAGGAGAGGAAGAGGAAAGGAGGAGAGAGTGGAGGAGAGAAAAGAGAAAGGAGGAGGAAAGGGAAGGAGGAGGAGGAGGAAAGGAAGGATAGGAGAAGGGGAGGATAGGAGAAGGGAAGGGAGGAGGAGGAAAGGAGAATAGGAGGAGGAAAGGGAAGGGAGGAGGAGGAAAGGAGAATAGGAGGAGGAAAGGGAAGGAGGAGGAGGAGGAGGAGGAGGAGGAGGAAAGGGAAGGAGGAGGAGGAGGAAAGGGAAGGAGGAGGAGGAGGAAAGGGAGAAAAGGAGGAGGAAAGGAGAATAGGAGGAGGAAAGGGAGAATAGGAGGAGGAAAGGGAGAATAGGAGGAGGAAAGGGAGAATAAGAAGAGAGGTATAAGTGATGGGAAGAGAGAGTAGGACAAGGAAGTGTGATAGGGAAAAGAAAGAAGTAGAAAGGGAAGAAGGAAAAGGAAGAAAGGAAGAAGGAAAAGTAGGAAAGGAAGAAGGAAAAGGAAGGAGGGGGGTAAAGGCAAAAAGGAGGGAATAGTGAGTGAAAGAAAATGGGGGAAGGAAAGAAAAAAAGTAGGAAAGAGATAGAGAGAAAAAAAAATAAGAAGAAAGAAGAAAGAGGAATGAACAAGAAGAAAGGAAGAAAATGAAATAGAATCGAGAGGCTAAAAGAAAAAAACCTTATTTACCTATTACTTAAAGTTCATCATTTTACTCTGATAATCTTTAAAATATACCGAATTAAAAGAGTAAAGTTGTTCGTATTAGCAATTCTTATTACAAACATAATATAAGTCGTGACTATGTCGGAATGGAAGCATAATATCGATAACTAAAATAACTGAGGGAATAAGAAAAAAAAACAAAAAAACATACAATCCCGCTCGTTCCTAATGCCGTTTATATATCTTGAATATTACTGACATTATACCATTTCTGCAACTAATCCTAAATCCGTTCCTGATGATTTTTTGTTCGTATCATTTTTTTCCATTGTTCCATCAATTTAATCAGTTGCAATATATATATATATATATATATATATATATATATATATATATATATATATATATATATATATGTGTGTGTGTGTGTGTGTGTGTGTGTGTGTGTGTGTGTGTGTGTGTGTGTGTGTGTGTGTGTGTGTGTGTGTGTGTGTGTGTGTGTGTGTGTGTGTGTGTGTGTGTGTGTGTGTGTGTGTGTGTGTGTGTGTGTGTGTGTGTGTGTGTGTGTGTGTGTGTGTGTGTGTGTGTGTACATACATACAAACATATATATATATGTATGTGTATGTGTGTGTGTATATATATATATATATATATATATATATATATATATATATATATATATATATATATATATATATATATGTGTGTATATATATATATATATATATATATATATATATATATATATATATATATATATATATATATATATATATGTGTGTAT